TATAGAACTGATGTTCAAATGAATATTTTAATATTTATTTTTATAATATTTTTTTATGTTCAAGTTCATCAGCGCTTTATCACAGCCAAAAACTAGCAAAGGTCTCAGTTTGCATCCATGTGCAGAAATGCACTTGGACTAGCCGTTCTTCCGTGTGGGATCAAAATTCTTTCAATTGTTGCACAATGCGCATGCCCATTAGAAGTTTTATATACGTTATCACTGTTGTCGCATTTTTTATCTTTTTTTCCTAAAATGAATTTTTTGGATGTTGGAGTTCTAGAAAATCGTTTCTAGAACTTGAGTGCGTGTTTTATCGGGATATATAGATTCGAGCCGMAGGCTCGTTCTATAAACAACATTTATAGAAAACGGTAACACACCACATTCTGGTCGAGTTAGTGTTCACTATGGTAATTCATGGAGTACTCTGTGCTACAAGGGACTGGACTACATCGATKTGAAAGTGATATGTAGAATCGACACAAGCAATGGCATCAGATTCTACAGTGACCATTTACCTATCCAAAGCATCCCAGACAATAGACGCACGTTTGAAAAGGTAAAGCTGACTTTGTTATCAACATTCTTAAATATTCTCTCAGATGATCAATGTCTCTTTTCAGCACATATCAATTTGTAGTGGAAAAGGGTCTAGAAATACCATCACCTACTACTTCTTGTACCAATGCTTCCTTGGAGACATGTTTTACCATCACAAAGTGTTTAGTGATTCTTACATCGCTACAGAGGTTCCAGTCAGTCCAAATCATGCTAGTAGTTTCACTATTGGYGATTGTCTCTATCACCATGGCTACCATAACGTACCATTAGAACCCGGACGTGACCCGGGTTCACGTGAGAATCGTTACCATGGCAATGAATGAGTTAATTGTAGCAATCTATATCAAAATTTTCTGCAGCAAATCAAAAAGTCATGAGTGAAAGGAGTAATCACATGGAAAATGCATTTTGGCGAGGTTTGCAACAAGACCAAAAGTGAGAAAATTGCATTGCCAAGCCGAGATCACTTGTCATTAAAATGATCTCTTATCTTTGATATTCCAGTTGATCCAYCCGTATTTCAAATAAGTAACAAGAGTTCCATCAATCAAACGTCAGTGGTGATCCCCTTTCTTGCCGTGCAGAACAAACCAATAGCAGGTCGGTAATTGTATTTCCCTAGACAATGTCAATATTATACTTCTCTAGGAAAGTGCTTACACTCTCAATGGTAACAGTTGAGGCGAAGCGAGATCGAATGAGGTAATAATAATCTTGATTAAATTTAGCTAATGAAATTAGCTAGGCGATGTATTGAAAACGAGGCGTGCGCTTATTATGCCTTGCTGACTGGCATTTGGTATGCTGTGGGGACGSCCCTAAYCCTTGCAGGGCTTGTACTTGTAGCCATCGTCATGTGTTATCGCACTCACCAAGACGCTTTGTGGTTGTGAGATTCCCACACACCCTACGCTATCAGTAAGGTAAGCAAGCATCGATAGATAAGTACTCACCATTGACCATGTCATTGATTGACAGTGGTTGGCTTACAATTGTGACCTCCTATTCATGACGGTGGTGCCGGAGTGACGACTTTTGGAAGCTTATTCCATACTCATCTGTGCCGATGGGTTTAATGATACATTCATTAGGTTTGGTTTTTGTATATTTACTCGCTTTTCTGTCGTTTTTAGTAAATTGGTATTGCGAAGCAAAACGCTCCTTTATTTCTTTTTCAGAAGAGTCATTAGCGACGCGCCATTCGTATCTTTTACAACGAAATCTGGTGTGCACGGCCATACACAAGGTAAAATATTCCATGGGATCCAACATCCACGTCATATATGATATCGATAGATAGATATAGCTTATCTACAAAGAATTACGGATTTCTCCATTAAAACTGCTAGAAGATTATCTTCATAAGAAGTGACAACTTTTCTAAAGATGATACCGTTTGTCATATTTATTAGAACGATTTCACATAACCGGATAAAAAATGCTAATGAGGATCAATTTATGCTAATACACATTGCACGATGAGAATGGCTTGTATCAAGTTGTTGTCCATGTTTGCAAAAACTAGATACAAAAATGTTTTGATTTTTTTCGCTTACGAAGTGTTGTTCCTTAGTGTGCATGTTGGAATGCTTGTAAAAGCAAACAAATGTTTTATTTGTGCAATTTTTGCTGCTTTTGTTGTCGTTTTAGACATRTTACAGATMAACAGAATTAACGTCAACATATTTGTACGTCAAATAAGTAAAGCGTTCATCAATATCCTTGTTTTTCCCCGTTTAAAATAGTGTAATGTGTATTAGCATAAATTGATTCTCATTAGCATTTTTTATCCGGTTATGTGAAATCGTTCTATTACATTCAGTTCGAAGTCAAAACTTATATAAATTTATATTAAATTCTTCAGGACATTCTGATAAGAATTCAGACGGCAATGATTCATTGGTGATTGGTTTATCCGTTGTTTTGGCGATGACGATATCTGCCATGTCTGCATTGGTTGGTTACATTGTGTATGATTTTGTAAAGAAGAGAAAGACGCAAAAGACAGAAGATACCAATCCGCAGATCGAGATCTCAGGTACCGTGATTTACATCAAACTCTCAGTGTAGAAAATTGAAATTATCATTTTGTCTATTTTACTGCTATTTAAAAATACAGACAATTTCAATGCAAGAGCGTTTTCTTAGCGCAGAGATGCGATTGGAGGAAAATGTACCAATGCAGCACAACGCATTAACGAAGGTCTCTTAGAAATGGGAGTGAGGGTGATACATGCCAGATCACGTGTGATTTCTTCGAAATTGACATGCCTTTAACGTTTAAAGATTATATGGACGACATTGAAATAAATAATCAATTCTGAAAAAGAATGACACGAGATCTGAAATGCGCCGCCAAGACTGAATATAATCTGGTACATGCAGGAAGTCGGTCTTTAAGTAAATGAGCGATAAAGTTATTTGCTATTGTTTCATAACAGATTTGGCGCCCGCACGTGTCAGTACAGGAGAAACCTCTGACCAGCAATACCAGGAGTACCCGCCACAACGACGCAAAAAGAGTAATTATTCTTTCCCTTAATTAGTTTTAGAAAATGACGGTTAATTCGTAGTTATGTTTATTGGGAAATGTGTCAAGTTTCTTTCGGTTGTTTGTACAGCTACAGACCTATTCAACACTTTATTAACTTATTTTTCGCAGCTTACAGCCTGTTATTTCAACAGCTAATCGTAACTCCAAGACAAATTTTCGTTTTTTTTTTGCGTTCATGTGACAACAATTTTTAACGCACGCACATTGAACTCGGTTGCATAAATTATTTCAAGAGAGAAACAAATTCCCAACAATGCATTGCGTTTCAGAACGAAGCTTTCAAATCCTTTCCACAATGCTCGACGTTGCGGCTACTGGCAATACTACGCAATATTCCAAAAATACCGTTGGACTATATTACGTCAATTTGTGGATAGTACAAAACTGTTCGAATATCTTGAATGTATATAAACATTTATGAGCAGTTGTAAGTCTACTGTCTATACTGTTAATATTATAAATCATTTTACCGTCACAGATGCAGTGKGTTTGTCTGGTCAGGGTACTCAGTATCAGTCTCTCGCTCCCCAGAAAAGATCCCAGCAACGTGGAGGCGTTGGTATAGAATCTTCTTACCAGGTCGTTGGTGGACCGGTGAGTACTTTTTGGGGTCGAGTCAATCGAGTGCTGTTTGATCCCGATTGCTGTAGGTTAAATGAACAATTATCGGAATTGAAATACTTTGCTTCTTAATTCCTCCCATAAAATTATATTTTTGTTGTGAATCCTGGATGCAATTTTCACATTCACTGAYAAACAATTAATGGTTACAGTCAAAAGAACATGAAGCGCACCCCTTCAAAACACCATTCATTATTCGATCATTATTCGATTCTTGGTCGATTCAACATTACATTATTGAAATCAAATTTGGCCGATTCAAACTTCGAAATTTGATTGGATTATTGATCAGATTTTCATTTTCATTGATCGTATTTCGCTTGTAAACATGCTTGTCTTTTGTAATGTCCACAAGTCGATGCATTACAATATGCTGTCTGTTAACATGGTTGGATCTGTTCCTTCTCGTGAGAAAGGAATGACGGTCTCAAAAAGCTGGAAATGCTGTGTTGTTTTCTGTCAATATCAGAATTTAATTTCTCATTAATCAACTGAAGTTTGAAAATGAAAAATCCAATAATGCATTGAATAACGAACTATTCGGGGGGCGCCCTTCATGTCGTTTGACTGTAAGACTGAATGATAAGAGAATTTTGCAGGGCTGGGTGAGGTACGAGAGTTTGATTATTGCTTAATCCTTTKTATTGAAAAAGACGCATATGAACTAAACATTTTGTCTTTTTTACGTTTAACAAAGGTTTTTGTTTGACTTGTATTCCCTTTTTTACAGGGGAAATCTACTTTGTCCTACACGGAAGAGGCGATATACGACAAYACCAACGCCTGAATCTCATGGATCCCAGAGTCATAAAACAGTAGCATTTGGGGCAGAAAAATGTGAAAACATGATACACTGGAACCTYATCTTATGGACACAAAACAGTCGCGGAATAGTTCGAGATAAATGATCAGACTACAAGCCCTGGGATATGGCGTCACCGACAGAACTATATGCCTCGTTGCTACCCTGCGATAAGGCTGTTGTAATGAAGAAGTCTTCCATGAAACTGCTGTCCGTAAGGAGAGGTTCCTGTGCAGTTCAGTTAGGTTAATAAGCTCCTGTAAGCTCTATGGTAATAAACTYGGTTTAAAAAGAAGTTGTATTAAGAACTTTAAGTTGTATTWAAAACATTAAGCTGTATTAAAACATTTTTGTTGAAAAGCAGCATTAAATCATTTTAAACTGACATTTTAAGAGTAGAGGTGCTTTCGTCTAGTCAGAACTGAATGACCAAGAATCGATTTCTAAACGGTCATCCAGTGTTATAGTGAAAAACTTGGAAAACGTGCGGAAAACTTAAGGACGCCTCATTGGCTCCACAATAGACAGATCTTACAGGTCAGTTAAGACCTATAATTCAAATCACACCATATCTTTATCGGGTGTTGTCGAAAAGTCTAACTGATCTTTTGGATGCAATGTACGTTCAAAGCTAGTTCTATAACTCTGCATGTGCCGATTTGTTCGCGTTAAAAGACACATAAAGTTCATCACATAGCTTGCGAAGAGTATCACGTTTAGAGMGCGGGAAATAGTTATCGATAATATTATCAAGTTGTGTCTTGTATTGTTCCCCTAGTATAGCACTGCTGTAGAATTGTGCAGTCTTCATAATTCCTTCTTTTAGCGATACTGGATTCCACTGTAACATTCTCTCTGCCTTAGTTACATTCACTGTACCGCACTTCACCGATGGAAAATAAACAGCTCCGTCAATTGTACTCTCGTCAAACACCAGTTTAGTATTTCCCACGTGTTTTCCTARTATGGCTAGAAATTCTTTCAACGTSGCTGTCTCCCTGAAGGCCAGGTTGTATGGCTGGTTGAAAACGTCATTTTTRGCATCARWCAAACTCAGCATCAACATTGCGACGTCCTCAGAGTGTACCATACTTAGTTGTTTGTTATGTAATCGAGGTGGGAARTAAAGTGGACGATCAAGAACATCCTGGAACTTGACCCACAGGAAGTAGATCCAGAATCGATCGGAGTTGTCACGTGGTCCGATGACGTCAGGCAGTCGTAGACTGACATATGTCAATCGATGGTCGTCATGTTCTTGTTTTAAGACGCCTTCGCATTGCAACTTAAAATCA